AGGCACCTGAGAGTAGAACAAGAAGCAATGGGTGGAAACTAATCAAGGAGAGAAGCAACTTAGAACTGAGGAGAAATTTCCTGACAGTTAGAACAATTAATCAGTGGAATAGCTTGCCTCCAAAAGTTGTGAATGCCCCATCACCGCAAGTCTTTAAGAAGATGTTGGATAGCCATTTATCTGAAGTGGTGTATGGCCTCCTGCCTAAGCAGGGGGTTAGACTAGAGGACCTCCAAGGTCCTTTCCAATTCTATTATTCTGTTCTGTTCTGTTCTGTTCTGTTCTGTTCTGTTCTGTTCTGTTCCGTTCCGTTCCATTCCATTCCATCCCATCCCATCCCATCCCATTCATCAGCCTGTAATAGCTGAATTGTAGCACACAGATAGAAAGCAAATTGCATACATATATGTGACAGGAGAAGGGATCTTTTGAAGAGGATGCTTAGGAATTGTATGTGGGGAATGACTTTAGTATCTACAAGATTAGAGGTGCTCATTTTTCCTCCTTCATCCCCCTGTTTCAGAGGGAGTGACTTCCCCAATAATTTAGATTCAGTGTCAGAAGACATTATGTTCCTATTTAGAATATCTGTAAAATATCAAATTAACAATTGAACAATTAGTTCCAACCTGTGTTACACATACTGCATTTGGCCCACCACTATTTTTTAAAAAAAATATGCAATCAATATGTATACTGTAAAACTCGCCTGTTCATAATAAATAGTATTGTTCTGAAGCATCCTTGTGATGAATCTTTGCTATAGCAAGAGCCAAGGCGGCACAGTGGTTAGAGTGCAGTACTGCAGGATATTTCAGCTGACTGATAGCTGCAGTTCGGCAGTTTAAATCTCACCAGGCTCAAGGTTAACTCAGTCTTCCAACCTTCTGAAATTGGTAAAATGAGTACCCACATTGTTGGGGGTAATATACTGACTCTGTAAATCCATTTAGAGAGGGCTGTAAGAGCACTATGAAATGGTATATAAGTCTAAGTGCTATTGCTATTTCACTAGCTTTTTATGTATTCCTGCATCTATGGAAACACCACAATCAGCTTTGTACTAAATCTCTGTTCTGGGTTAGGAACTGATAATAAGCAATGTCTTAGATTCCTATAGGAAATAGTTCTAGAGATTCATAGGCAACAGATGTGAAATTGGCAAAAGAAGAAAAACCTTAACAGAATAACAGAGTTGGAAGGGACCTTGGAGGTCTTCTAATCCAAGCCTCTGCATGAGCAGGACACCTTATATCATTTCAGAAAAATGGCTGTTTAGTCTCTTCTTAAAAGCCTCCAGTGTTGGAGCATTCACAACTTCTGGAGGCAAGCTGTTCCACTGATTAATTGTTCTCACTGTTGGGAAATTTCTCCTCATTTCTAGGTTGCTTCTCTCCTTCATTAGTTTCCATCCATTGTTTCTTGTTTTGCTTTTGGGTGCTTTTGAAAAGAGTTGACCCCCTCTTCTTTGTGGCAGCCCCTCAAATATTGGAACACTATCATTTCACTCATAGTCCTCCTTTTCACTAGACTAGATAAACGATTCCTGCATCTGTTCTTCATAAGCTTTAAGCTCCAGCCCCCTAAAATATCTATGTTGACTTAATTATCATTGGAGACAATTTTAAGAAGAGAAAGAGTTTGGCTTTAATGTGAAGGACTAGTAGATGGGTGCAATGAACTTACACAGTTCTAGTTGCTTTCACTGTAGACTTTCTCTAAATCCAGATGAAGTGAGGAAAATGTTCCTAAAATGTTTATAAGGCAAAAGCTCATATATTCCTGGAAACTACTAAGTTGTTGGATGGAAAGGCACAGGAGAGGACTCAGCAACAAACAAATGGGCCATACGTTCATCAGCAAAGGTGACATGCAGAGGGTGTCAGAAGAGAGATAGAAGAAAGAACAGCAAAAATGGATCTTTCTGAGATCATACGTAAATCCAGTCAACTGGAATAGTAGGAATAGCATTAAACAATATAGAAAGATGCATATATACCAGGGGACGGACGGACGGACGGACGGACGGACGGACGGACGGACGGACACACACACACATATCATTTCAACTCATATCCTCACTGATTAAATGAGATTCGTTTAGATTTGTTCTTAGTCTACAAATTAGAGTGCTGAAAAATGTTTGCTACTTTTAATGAATATGTCAGGCTATGAACCAGGAGGAGGAACTGCTGACAAAAGACGGTAAAATCATTTAAAGCGATGAAAGGCAAGAAAGAGAGATAGAAAAAAATTACTGTGAGAGGGAGCCAAGCCTAGAAATACTGTATGTTGGCTCCTAAATCTTTCAATCAGTTATCTTGTATGTGGCCTCTCATAATCCTCATATGTACTTATTAAAAGATTACTATTTGAAACCCTGGTTAGAATATGCCTAATATATGCAATGCAATGCAATGCAATGCAATGCAATGCAATGCAATGCAATGCAATGCAATGCAATGCAATGCAATGC